TGTCTAGAGCAACATTGACAATAACATGTCTCAGCATCATAAGGACAAGTTACGAAACCTTTCAATACAAATTTTGACCTAATCATTTCCCCTCTATTTTCTGAAAGGATCTTTGTCATTGTTACATTAGATTAATCCTCATGGAATTGGGAAAGAGCTATGATTCTAAGTTAGCCCAGGATTTGATTGATCCTTCGGCTAGATTCGGGAACTAGTCAAAAGATACCTCATGGAGGGTGTCGATAAAATGTTGCATCTTGGTGAGGGGAACCTTTGCCATCGAACGTGTATAACACAACAGCTTAAACTTTATCAAGTAGAGAACTGAGTCTCATTTGATGGGATAAGGTTGAGTGGTGCAATCCTTCTTTAGGTTGGTTCTCTGTGTAAAGCGTTAAGCTAATTTTGGAGGCTTTTGGACATTTTTAGCTTGTGCCTTTACTTTAGTGGATTGAATGTCTCATACTCTGAGAGAGGGGAGAAGACATCTTCTTGGTAGCACAACTCCTTATCAAGGAAGATGTCAATTGGGCGCTTCCCCTTTGAAGTGCTCATAGGGGGTTGGAAAGTGAGTAGCATTGTTGAAGCATATTTTCGAGTCGCTCGAAGCGCTCATCAGATACCTTCTTTTGGGTCTCAATTCAATGAATAAGATTGTCGATGACCTCTCCATCTGCCATGTTAGCAGTCCACTCCCGCTCTTGACTTGAGCTAGGAGTTACATTTAACGCTATGACTGAGTTAGCATCACTAGCAGGGGGAATTGTCCATTTGTGAAGGAGTTCATTGAATGGACATCCTCATGACAGAGTAGTTGATGGGGATAGTTACCCCCCATCTTGATCTAGTATGGTGATAGATACCATCAGTCTTTAAAAGTATACTCCTTATTTCGAGTATCTTGGATCTGATGGGTTATCATCATCATCATCTTCTTCTAGGGTTATACTGGTTATAACCGTGAACTCTTAGTGATCAAGATCGAAAGTCACCTTGTTCTTGTGAGGTCGCCATGTTTCTACTTATTCCTAAACTTTGAAGATTTGGGGAATGGACTAAGATGTGTAGACGCCAACTCTTTAATAGAGGGAGACTTACATAGACAATTCAGTTGAACTGTCGATACTATCTCCTTTAGTTTCGAGCAATGCTGACATTGTTGCACCCTCTTTTGAGAGAGGAACTCCCTTAAGTCATAGGGAGTATCAACTTGGCTATTGATGCGTCAGTCGCTCTTCTTAAAAGCAACTTTGTAGGGCTAGCTTTTGGCATTAGAGCATCGCCTGAGATGATGTTGCTTTGACCTACAACTGATGTGATCATTATGGCTTCATCATAAGTCTAAACTTGTGGTTGAGACTGAGAATCTCCATGGGCGATACTTTTCCCTTTTGAGAACTTCATTGGAGGGTAACCCCCCAGTTTTGTCTTCTTTTAAGAAAGTATGATGAGTATTGCAAGACACTTTAAAGCGAACCTCTACAGGGCTTGTGGGATAATGTCTGAATTTGAAAGACGTTTGAACATCATGACCTTCACTCATGGCGAGGGTTACTAAGACTTCTCTTGGGGTGAAGCTCAATTTCCCTTCAGCGACATTGAGACTACCTTTGGTAAGATTTGCTTCGCTTTGGGTGAAGCTATGGTTGTATTTGCTCTGGGTAAAGTTCGCTCTGCTTTCAGTGAAGCTAGGGCTATCTTCGGTAAGGCTCGCCTTGCTATGGGCAAAGCTCAGGTCTAAACCCGGTCTTGAACTTCAATGTATCTATAGTAGCTTTTGGTCATGGCAGTAACTATTTTCTCAGAGGATATAATTTTGCTTATTCAAATTCTATGACCAATGATTCAGTAATAGAACTTAAGGCCTTAGTGTTCTCGACATAATTTTCTCTTTGATTGAGAAGAGAGTCCCCAACAGTGTTGCCATTCTATTTCTGGTCTTAAAATTAATGGCAAAAAAGAAGAGTTACAATCTCAATAAATAAGAAACATGAAAAATTTATAGAGATCTGGGTTCTTTTTTATGTGTTGATGGAAGGTCGTTCTTGTCTTCCGTTGAAGGACTAAGCAGTAGATAGTGGGTCTTTTGCTAATTGACTATCTTTGAGTAAAGTAGATGATTATTTACGTTGAAGAGATATTAACAGATCTTTTTTCACAAGGATTTTTGATTATGCTAGATGACTAGTTAAAGGAAATACATGTTTCCTCACTAGGATCATTGATTGAACTAAATGATTAGTTAATGAGAATGATCTATGAAGATAAATGAGAATAGAGTAGGGACGGGCTCTTCGTCGATGTCGCTCACCAAGCTTCAGCTGGTAGCCTCTGAATCTCTCTCTCTCTCTCTCTCTCTCTCTCAAGTGATAAAAAGCCTAGCCAGGAAGAACATCAACTCCAAGATTTTTCCTTGCCCCCCTTTTTCTTTATGTTGATCATGCATATTTATAGAAAATTGAGAGCACTCCAAGATTTTTCCTTGCCCCCCTTTTTCTTTATGTTGATCATGCATATTTATAGAAAATTGAGAGCATTAAATGAGTGAGTTAGTGGTTCTTAACTCCCATTAAATAGGTGAGTTAGCGATCATTAACTTTCTTTAAATGGGCGAGTTAAGTGGACAAACTGATTCCTTAAAAGTAGCTTCTAAAAATGACTATGGGCGAAGTTCGCCATTAACAACTATAGATGAAGTTTGCCAATAATGACCATGGGCGAAGTTCATTGAGAAAACTTCGCCAAAATATGGGTATCCCACTTTCTTTGGAATGTGGGTGATGTGGCCTACGTGAGCTATAAGGCGAAGCTCGCTTCAACGAGCTTTGTTGGTACTTGGGCAAACTTCGCTCTGAGCTTGTGTTTATGCTATTTTGATCTGATTTAGTGTTTGATCTACGTGCATCTACTTTTTTACGCTCAAGTATTAAACTTGTGCCAAGTATCGATCCAGGTCTCTCGTGACTTGAGAGATTAACTATAGATGGAGTGGCCTATATATTTTGACCGTCCACATTTTTCAAAAGGAGTATTTTGGTCATTTCACCACTAACACTTAATAATGTCAGTGGGTAGTTTCAAAGACTTCAAAGTATAGCATGTTTAAGCGAGACAGCCCAAAGTTCAAGAAGGTTAAGAGGAGTAAATAAAGTTGAGGGAGCTATGAGCAAAATACCCTATGGTCAGGGGCTTATGTGAAATTTGCCCTCTTTTAAACATTTTATATCTCAAATTCTCTTTTTGATATTCTAACGTGCAAAAAAGTTTGGGTTTTTTTTATATTAGTCCCTTAAATATTTCATAGATTGAAATTAGTCCTTCAAATCATTGTAAATGCGGGTAGGAATTAGGGGTGCATTCGGTCCGGATACGGATCAGATATGATGCTTATCATATCCATATCTGCTTACCCATCTCGGATACGGATACAGATATAGATATATCTTGATAAGAAAATTTTGTAACCATATCCGCTAAAATCAGATACGGTTATGGATATACATGCGGATATATAAGCGGATATGCATGCAGATACAAAACAGATATGAGAAAACTAGATAGTATTGAGGAAAACATAGTTCATGTGATATAAAAGAGTTTGTTAATATGTCCATTATAATTAAAAAGTTAAGATTAAACATCTTAATCATCAAAATTAACCACAAATCCATAATCTAAGAATCGAAACTATCGTAAGAGTATGACTAATATGTATTCGGATATTTCAGATACGGATACAGACATTTCACTAAAAAACCATATCCGTAACCATATCCTATCGGTTGTAGATTTGAGTAACCATATTCGTATCCTAATGGATATGGTTACGGATATTTTCTCGGATACGGATACGGTTTAGCACCCCTAGTAGGAATAGTTCTAATGCTTTATGTGAAAATTCTAACATGGCTATCAATATTAAAGCTGCAAATAACCCATCATTCTATTTGGCAAATCCATTGTCCTCAATCTTGTCGTTAATATTTTTTTAAATCACATTATATTTCCTCTCTTAGTTTTTATTTCAATTGCATAATATATAAATATTCATCTTATAGTTTATCTTTAAATGTTTTTCTATCAAAAAGTTAACCATATTAGCATTTTCGAAGAATTCTTAATTGGATTCATTTGCCATTAGAGATCTTTGTATATTATTTCTATTGGAGTTCATTGTCATTATTTTTATATTCTAATTAAAGCATTCTTAATATTCAGAAATATTCTATGTGCAACGCACTTGCACTATATTAGTTTTTTTTAAAACCTATATAACTTCATATGTTATCATACGCCCAAAATATGAAGTTTATTTTACATTTAAATGCAAAATATAGAATATAATATAATATAATAGAGTTTGTAGCTGTACACTCTAAATAATGTAGACATATATTTCGCAGTATGTAGCTATACACAATATAGTACTAGTTTTGCTCTCTACCTTATTGTAGATATACACCCTATTATATGTAGCTATACACTTTGTATTATGTATTTGGATTTAAAGTAAGAAAAATCTTTATTTTAGGTGTAAAATGCATATCGAATGACGTGGGTTTTAGACAAATAAGGGTAAACTTTGATTTTACAAACAAAAGTCCTTTAAATTTAACCCTTCACCTGGTCGAATTAGAATATAGCTAAGTGGGTTCCATGTGCTCCATGTCTGTTGTTGCGGGTTGAATTTGTACGAAGAAATTTCCTAACTTAGTTTTTATTCTCTTGTATGGGCTTGATTGAAAATCGAGACAACACTGGGGAAAATAACTCAAGGGAAATGATGTCACGTGACATCTTTTTTTATCAATAGATTCGCCACTTATTGGGGTGATCTACACCATTCAAGAGTGGTTAGAGGGTTAATTTAGGAACTAAGGAATTTATTTTTTAAAAATAAAATAAATCCCAGCTCAAACACCGGCCCAGCCCAACCCAATTAGGATACAAAATTTTAAAAAGGTTTTTTTCGGAAAAGAAACCCGACCCGCTAGCATATTAACCCTATCATTTTCCTCAAATCAAATCCGTCTTCACACAGAGTCCCTCTCTTTGCGCCGCCGCCACCACCTCAACCTCCTCTTTGTCGTCTCCCCCCTCTTCGACGCATTTCCGGCCACCACCTCAACCTCCTCCTCCTCTTCTCTTCGAGGTAAATTTTTCTAATTTTTCACTTTTTATTCACTGTTCTTTATGCATAGCTGATTATGGATGGTTGTTTATGGATCTAATGTTGCTATTTATGCATTTTTGCATTTTCTATGAATTTCATGTTTTTATCTATTGTTATAATTAAATAGTTTAAAAAATAGAGAAACGTCTAGGCGCTAACATTGATTTCTACTGAGCATAGACAAGGGAAAAGAAATAAAGAAAAGATGTGGAAGAGGGGAAAACATAAAATGATTTGATTCACTGAATAATTAAAGGATATATTTTAGAAAACACATATAATGTCCGTTGAAAGTGTGAAACTGCACGCTTTCAGGACTTTAGGTGTTTGTTCAATGTGTTTAAATGCCCAAAGTTTTCATTTAAGAAAAACACCCCAACTTTCAAAAAAGTTAACTCTGACGAAGGAATCATATTCTAACTCTTGCTTCTTATCTTGTATCTTAGGACATAAACCTCCTTTCCACTTATTAACTATATTTTTTTCATGAATCTTTTAAAATAAGTCTTCTCATCACGTCCAGCTCTGTGATGATAGGTTTTTGCGCGGCTTCTATGATCGTTTCCATAACCACAAAACAATATCATGTTAAATAAATAAAACGGTTAATTGCGAATTGACCCCTATAGCATCGCCTAATTATGAATATACCAATTGTTGTCTACTTGTGCAGATAGATCATCAAAAGCATTTTCCCAAGTGTGGATAGACCTTTAAGTTAACTTTTTCGACTTTTTTAAAAGTAAAAATGATTAGCAATTTGGGGTCTAGAATCTACCCTCACCAGAAGCATAATGAGTCAATTCGCCTTCTGATTTTTTTTGATTCTTTTAAGAGTAAAAGAAAACTCACCTGGGGGGTGGTGGTATCCGCACAGATAGAACTACAAATGGTCTATCCGCAATTGGATGATACTATACGGAGTCTATCTGCACTTAGCCCTAAATAAAATAAAATACTATTGTCACACCATCTTCACTTTTCTAGTTTCAACAACAATTTTTTTTAAACATTCTCTTTCACTTGTATTAAAAAGGGCTAAATATTATAAACACCCCCTTAACTTTGGACGATAATCAAATAGCCCCGCTTAACTTTAAAAATATCAAGAACTGACCTTGAAATTAGTGGCTATCAGAGGACTCCCTCTAACTTTAAGAATTTTTCCTGAAATCCCCCTAAAAGCGTGAATCCTAATTTTCATTGGCAAAAGTATCCTCCTAGGTAACTTTATCCACAATTATGGAAGTTGTGGTTAACACTATTAAAGAGTTTTTTTGATAAAATTTTAAATTTAGAGGAGATTTTTGTGATAATCCCTAAACTTAAGGGGGGTTATTTTGACTTGAAGTTATTTGGGGTTATTTTATAATCATCCAAAATTAAGGACCTTTCTCTATTAATTTAATAGGAGCTTAGCGTTGGCCGCTATGTCCGGTCCGTGTCTGCCCATTTATAGGAATCTAATAGCTCTTCAAAAACCTCAAGCCTTTTACTCTGCGGTAGTTGCAGTCCTTTCCTTTTTCCAATCATTTTCATTGTCAACCCACTCACAATTTCAACACGTGCAACAGTCAAATTATTTACAAAGATGCCATCGGCGGCAATGCTGCAAATTTCGTCGCCGGCCATCTCCTCAAACTGTTCTTCTTTCTTCGCTCCCAGCTGTCTCAACATCAACACAAGGTTCACTAATCTCTCTCTCTCATACATTTGCTTATGGTTTTGTAATTCACTTGGTTTTTTTATTGGGTGTTGTAGGTCGCCGTCAAAGGTTTGCTTTGCGAAGAGAAATGATAAGAATTTCAAGTGCGTGGCAGTGCCTGATACTGAGAAACCTACTAGTAAATTCCCTCTCTGCATTTATTTTGTTTTGGTGTTGACTTTGCGCTATTTGATGAAATTCCTCAAAGAAACAGAACTTGGGTGTTAGTTGGTTTTTGATGTCACACGTGAGTAAAAAGATTATAAATGGGAAGAATAGGTAGATAACCTGAAGGATTGGATGAAGTATATGAGTAGCACTATGTATAGCAGTTAGAATATATAAATATATCTTCAACCTACACCACAACTTCGGAGTTTGAGTTTTGGTGTAGTGATAGGAAACTAACCACGGAGTGAATTTTAAAAGCGAATTTAAAAAAAGGTGCCGCTTTGTGAGTTCGACCTTCGGTCCATAAAAGGACACTCAACATGCCAGGTCATGTTAGAATATAAAATAATAATCATCAACCCTCACCACAATTTTTGAGTTTTGGTGTAGTGGTAGGGACTTTGATATGATATTAGAGCAACCCAGGTTCGAATCTTGCTGGCCATGACTTACATGTGGGTTTAAAACAAATGATATGGTTGTGTGAATCTAGATTTCTGCCAAAAAAGGGTCATCATTCATCAATCAGTGGGTGCATGTTAGAATATAAAATTATAACCTCAACCCTCACCAGAACTTTTGAGTTTTAGTATGGTTGTAGGGACTTTAAGAATAACTTAGGGAAAAAGAAGGTAGTTAAGGAATTTTACAACTTGAAAAAAAATCATGTAAAAGTCTTTTCCATTAGAGAAGTGGGCTATGGAGCGACAAATAAATTATTTGACAAAGTCTACATTTGGGTGTCAACTTGATGCCAACCAAACCGAATCAGTGCTAAATTCATATTTGAGATACTAGCTAGTAAAACATAAAGTCCCAATTGACTGTTTTAACATCCTTTAAACTCTGCTAAGGGGAAAGATTTTAGAACAAGGAAAAAGATGATAAATTTGTTGCAGATGACCTCAATGTTATACACAACCAAAGCCACATGCCTGATGAGAACGCATTCCTGGAACATGAAAGCTGGATCCAAAAAACAAGCCTACAATCATTAGATGTGAGATATGATGATCTTTTCTTTGGACTTGAAATTTGGGGCACTTTGATGATGCGAGAATGTGCCAACGTGGTTTAAAGAGAGCTGGTGGTTTTGAGTAAAAGGGAAGGGTGAGCAGTTTTATTTTTGGGATTCAGATTTTGGGCTAGGCTTTTAGCCTTGTATGGCTTTGGATTTTTTGAGTTAGAATATTGGATCTTGAAAATAAGGGCATTCTGGTATTTTTTTGAAGTGATGATCGATCAGTAATATCATAAGTATCTGCTTGCTTTTTGGTTTTGCTGGAGATAGTCTCTTTTGTATTTTGTGTAGATTTCAATTACACTTCACAAACTTATTGATGTTGATCTGAAGCTTACACGACAAAAGTTCCTCGCAACGCAAATATGGCAAAGCTTCAAGCTGGTTATCTATTCCCCGAAGTAAGTGTTCAGTTCCTCTATTCTCTTTTACTTTTCAGCGGTGATGTTTGGACCTATATATGACTGTAAGAGATTGAGCAAAGACATAGAAGGTTTACTATTGCATGTTAAGGTCCAAAGTTCTCCATCAAGCGTTGAAGCAGAGAAATATATATATATAATATATATATATATATATATAATATATATTATATATATATATTATATATATATATATAGAGAGAAGAGAGAGGAGAGAGAGAGATTAATGGGTATCCTTGTCATAGGAGGGGATTTCCTCCTTGACGCCTCTAAAATCACATGATTGAGCGACATTTGGATGATCCGTTCGTTGAACTGATCTACATATTCTAAAATCCCAACACACCAAGTTTGGGGTGATCCGTCGTCGTTTGACCCTCCATCGAGCCATGTGAAAAGTTCTATTCATTTCAAACCGTTAAAATTGATACGAGTGGATGAAGGGTCAACGACGACGGTTCATCCTAAACTTGGTGTGTTGGGTTTTAGAATATGTAGATTAAGTTCAACGGAGCGGATCATCTACAATGTCGCTCAATCATGTGATTTTAAGGCGTCATAGGAGAAAATCCCTCCTATGACAAGGATACCCATTAATTATATATATAATATATATATATTATATATATATATATATATTATATATATATATATATATATAAAAACTTGGTAAAGATGGATTTCCAGAAGATTTACATCTGTTATACATCGTGTGGAAACTTTTACATAAATATAAGTCATAGGAATAGTTATACACACACACACAACTTGGTAAAGATGGATGCTAGAAGTTACATCTGTTATACATTGTGTGGAAACTTTTACATAAATATAAGTCATAGGAATAGTTATAAAATTCTCAAATATGATCTCCACTGAATGAATTTCACGTTCTTAATTTCATAAGATCCCTTGAAACATGTTATAAGATGCTCATTATTTAAAGTTTAAACTTTAAACCATATAATAGAAAAAGTGAATTATAATCCACATATAATCCACTTTTGGTTGTCTGGCATGTGGATTATCTTGGATATCCACCAAAAAATAACCTTTGGTGTATTACAATCTATGAGGCTCGACCAAGTAAAAGACAATTATGCCTCTATTGATTTCACAAAATCCCTTGCTTGGTTTAATAACTCACCACCGATCCATATCCTTTTTGGTCATTTTGACTATAGTTGCGTAATTCCTCGGATCCCCCTCGAACCGTCGTACAGTTCCTATGAACTAAATCCTAATACATTTGTGAACATATTCCCTCTGATACATGAATTGGCGCACCGGTTACAAGAATGCGGGACACAATCTCTTTAATTGCACATGTGCAAGACGCAATTCCATGTGCGCAATCGAGTGAAGGGATGCTCACAATAGAATATATGAGTCAATAACTTGATCCCTACATTAATAAAACATGAAATGAAACCATCATCCCAGCACAAACTATGTGAAAAGAAAAACAGAACCAAAAAAATCCAAAAAAGAAAAAAGAAACTCATTGGAAATGCAGAAGATAGTCTTAGAAAAAGAAGAACAAACTCCATAAAAAAGAAGCATTTAAATATTTTGTATTAAAAATATGAAATGCATAATTAGCGTTTTTGTTTCTAGTTTTTTACTATACACTTTGAAAAATGGTAAGCGCACCCAAAAATATTTACATCGTATCATGTACCGAATTTGGTACCACAGTAAGCTACCACTCGTCGAATCCAAATTTTTTACGTGGCAAATTGCATACCCAAATTTGTACCATGATCCGCTGAGTACTGCGTACTGTATAACTATGATTTTCATGACATAATAGATTAATCAATCAATTTGCCAAACAGTCTACCATAGGAAACATATTATAATCGACCAAATCTATCAAACACTCTGGATTATAATCCACTTTGATTATAAGCCATTTGTGGGTTATAACCCAAGTGGATTGTGATCCAAAGTTCCCAAGCATGCCCATAGTTAAAAGGACCGACAATCATCCATGAGAGCTATGCCAATGTATATCTGGGATGTGAGTGGTAATTGTAAGCGCCTATTAGCATTGTAAAATTATGATGTAGAAAGCAAAGACTCATAAAATCTTAAGTAAGTATAATCCATAACATCTTATGGTTTATCAACATGCAGCATTGATAATGAACTTGACTAACACTAGATCGAGCATCCCTACTTCTTACAGTCTGATAGTGTATATTCCCTATCTAGTGGGTTTGTGCAAATTTTGTATCTAGGTCATTATTATTCGATCTTTAAGCTGGATTCAAAATTTGAAATTCAGATTGGTTAAATACAAAGAAATTCATCTACTTGGAGACTCCCAGCAGAACTTAGTTATTGGATGCTATAATAAGATAAATAATAAATAGTATTTAAGTAACCCCAAAATTTTAAGCCACTTTCATTTAAATTCTACGCTTCCAAACTTAGTAGAATGTTCGAAAACTGAGAAATTCATAAGGCATCAAATGGGAAGAAGTTATTCTGAAGTAGCCTTTTTATGGTATGCAGATACAAAGTAACTCCTATTGATAAGAAATATGATAGAAGAAAGCTAGAGAATATGACCAACTAGGAGAAAATAACTTCCAAGGCTTATGTGTAGTATAGTCTGACCTCTGTATTTGATAGGAAGTCTACTTGTCTAATTGTAGAAAATGTAGAGGATACGACTAATTAGGAGAAGATAGCCAAAAAAATGTTCGCCATCATTTCATCATCTTTTGGTTAGCAATTAACCCCTAAAGTTCTTTTTATGGTTATGAATGCATGTTTGGTTGAAACATGGTCTTTTTACTCAAAAAGAAATTTTTTAAATATATAAAATAACATGCACTTCCTATGTAGTTTCTTTTGTTTATTTGTAACCTTTAACTAGTATCCGAAATCAACAATTACACCTGCCCGGTATTCTCTAATTTGAGTGAAAATTTTGATAGATATTAGGAGTATGATTAGCAAGAAGTGGCAAATGTGGTCTTCACTTGCATTTTACATTAAATTTTACTGTCATAGTCGATTCACCATCTAAATCCTTATTGATAATTTTCTCCTATTATAGAGTATGTAATTTTTTGGATATTTTATTTTGATTTCAATAGTCATGTAGTTATAGTTGATACAGTCTACAAAATGTAACAAGTTTGCCTGTTCATTATAGACATGTTGTTTTATGTTTTTTTAACTTTTGGGTTGCCAAACATGTTTGCTCTTGACGATTCTTTTTGTGTTTAAGATCTATTCTTGGAGTTATAGGTTTCATATTGTAAGAATGTATGTCAAAAACCATTTTCCTTACAGCCTATGATTTTATTTGAGTCTAGATTGCAAGAAGAAGATCGGCGCACATGTTGAAATATCCTGATGCACAAGTGATAAGCCTTGGTATTGGTGACACTACTGAACCCATTCCTCAAGTTATTACTTCTGCAATGGCTAAGGTAATCACTATAACAGTAATTCTGTCTCACTTTCCTGCTGCTATTTAGTAGTTAGGTTGATGTAACATCATTTGACCGGGTCATACCTTCCGATGAAAGAATACGACCGTCGTTTATTTAACAATATTTTCATGTTTATCTTTAGTTCATTGATGAAATATTTGTTATCTTTTAATTTTTGACTTAGGTGGCTTCAGGTCTTAAAGTTAAATGTTTCCCTATAACTACGAACAATAGTGATTGTTGTACCGCTATTCATTTACCCCTTTAATATCACCATCTTCCAGTTCTGGTCCATTTATCATTACATTCTTATGTATTTTTTATCTTTCATAAATGATGAGTTTATTGATAATAGAAACACTGCGATAAATAGATTAGGGAAATAATGCAAGATCCATATGTTTTAGGTCCTTTTGAAACTTGGCAGGCAACTAATTTGTTCTAAGAAAATTGTCTCATCACTAAGCTAACAACTAGATTGTTCTAAGAAAATTGTCTTATCACTAAGCTTGCATTATTTGTGTAGGACTTTTGGCTTTTACATTAGCCAGATATATTTTTTTTCTTTTCTAAGAGTTGTGTGGAATTGTCGAGCCTCTTTTGTCTGTTAAAGACTTATCACCCTTACAATTTTGGTAAGTATTAAGGCTATGCAGCTTAATTGTTCTATATTGAACATTTCAGGAAAAAGGTGGTAGTCACTTGGGCCTATTATATATTTGTGCAAGGTTCTTTGGTTTGCTCCCGTTAGTTTTCTATAATCAGATTATGTATTCTGGTGGGCTCAGGAAATTGAAATATTTTGGTCTCTTTTGCAGAGAGCACTAGGATTATCAACATTTGAGGGATACAGTGGTTATGGAGCTGAACAAGGTGAAGAGGTTTGTTCTTGTTTTGGATTTCTCAGGCTATTGTTATAAGAAGCAACTTTGGGCATTTGTTGTTTTTAGTCTGTAGGATGGCGCTCTCTCTTGTTTTGAGTCTGTAGGGTGGCTCTCTCTCTCTCTCTCTGTTGTTATAAGAAGCAACTTTGGGCATTTGTTGTTTTGAGTTTTTAGGGTGGCGCTCTCTCTTGTTTTGAGTCTGTAGGGTGGCTCTCTCTCTCTCTCTCTGTTGTTATAAGAAGCAACTTTGGGCATTTGTTGTTTTGAGTTTTTAGGGTGGCTGCCTTTATTGAGAACTTATAAACTTACAAAACTTGATTAAACTTCCTTAATAAGGAAGAATTCTTATCATACTAAAAAAAATCTCTAATAATTAGATTCTAAAACGATTCCCAATTTTTAAATTAACTAAAATTTTTAACTAATAATGTTTGAGCCTTTTATCTTCCTTTCTTATTTTCCAATAGAAAGTTATCCTACATCACAATTCCCAGAACTCCAAAATGAAGTATCGATTCAACATGATGGATAAGTCTTATAGACACAAATTAGAGTACTAGTTTTCACCTTACAAGTTGTCAGATGATCTTCTAAGATCAAACATTGAACTTTCTTATCAACTTGTGTAGGAGTCCAAGCAGCCAGTTTAAATAGCGGGTTATTGCTCAATCCCATTGCATTTTGTTGCATTGCATTATATCTCATGAAACTCTCATAATATAACTAAGAAACAACCTTGCCCTGGTACCATAGCTAGATGGAGAAGGTGCTACATATATTAGTGTTGTACCATTGAGTCAAAATTTCAAATTGTTCATTTCATGTGTAATTCCTTCAGCAATTGTTGATTAATGGTTTCCTAGAATCATAGTTGAGTTAGAGAGCTATAAAAGCAAGAGTGGAGAAGCTGGGTATTCATTCATCAATCCCAAGCAAAGGTTAGCACAGTTTCGTAATCTTCTATATGATTTGTCATTTCCTTTAACCTCGAGGAAATTCTTCACTCATCAGTCATCCATCCACATTGTTGAGAAAGATTGACAAATCCCAGAATAATTTTCCCAACTAAATGAGACAAAAATAACACCAAAGATTTTTAGCGTGGAAAACCCTCCAAAAAGAGGTAAAAACCACGGGACCCGTAGGCCACTTAAAAACTTCCACTATAATAATAATGGGGTTACACACTTCACTCTTAGGTGGATCTCTCACAAAATTGGCTAACAACACAACTTCAATTTGTGGATAGAACTTCACAAATTGGCTCTCTATTTTTCTCTCTCAGATAAACTCTCTGTTTCTGAGGCTCTCACTTTGTTGTTTCTTGTTTTTCGGATGATTGAAAAATGAAACGAAGCGTCTTCTATTTATAGAAGAACCGGCCTCCTCTCTCCTCGAAATTCACCGTGAATTTCGTTCAACATCTTCCAATTTGTCAAAAGTGCGTGGGTCCCTTTGCTGACCTTCTTTGTTTTCATGCCGTCCTTCTACTTACTTGCGGACCCACGTGTTTAACAAAGAGAAAGAAACGAGACGAGCCGCAACTTTTGACAAAGCAAAAATGCCCACCCAATCTTTTGTTCTTTGATTGCTATCCCATGTGATCTCCACCCTTTTTTTTCTTGCTGGCCCACGTGAACACATGAGGTGGACCAACAAATCTTCCCCTTCACCTTATGTGTGACAGGGGTCCTCCACACCAGCAATCTCTCTGCAGATAGCAAGCTTTTCTCTAGGCAGAGTCTTCGTCATCATATCTGCCCCGTTGTCGTTGGTGTGAATCTTCTCAACTTGCAGCTATTTTGTTTTCTGCTTGATTTACTTGTTTTAATGTTGAACTAGAAACAATGAAATGACAGCTATTTTGTTTTCTGCTTGATTTACTTGTTTTAATGTTGAACTAGAAACAATGAAAACAAACTGACAGAATTACTTGTGAAGCTTGAATGCTGCCTATCTTGATTACACGGGCCCTGCTAGACACTCCACTTAGATAACAAGATTGCAAACCGTGACTTGTTATTGTGGTCTATGCAAGGTTTTAAATATCGGTTATCGGGGATTTATCGGACGGCCAAAATCCTTATCGGATAGCGGAAATCGGGGATATATCGGGGATAAGTAGTATTTATCAGAGTGATATACTGGATGATGTATATATATAATATAACAATTAAAAAATGTAATCTAATCATGCTTAATAAAATATAAACATACCAAAATGTAAATCATCATGTTTAGAATCATTAACCAATTGTAGAAAGCGAAACTTGCATCATAGCCTTGAAAAAAATATAATGTTAGTTAAAATGGGCCGATAATCCCGATAATCCCGATAAAAAAGTCTTACTTATCGGCCGATAAGTGCCGATAACGCCGATAAATCACCGATAAACCTAGAAAAACGATAACCGATTAAAAATCCAATTTATCCTAGCGGAGAGCTCCCAAATCCGATAACTCGGCCGATAATATCGATTATCGGCCGATATTTAAAACAATGGGACTTGTGGTACTTTCCTAAAACATAACTGTACATTTAGCGTGGAAGTGGAACTCATCGTATTTTGCTTGACTGAACTACAATTTCATCATTATTGTCATCATCTGAGTCCTGCTGTAGAAGCTCCAGCAAAAGTTTCACAAACTTTTATCATCAAGTATGAGCAGAGCATCTGTAGTGCACAGGCTCCAGAATAAAGTTCCATGAATTTTATCATAGTCTATCAGCTTAACTGCAACTATTCTTGATACATTGCTATGAAACTTATAAAAGAAACTCTTTTGGACTCTATATTGAAACTTGTGGGAGCTTTATGGTTTCTTTAGTTTGCAATAGGATTTACTATTGTTTGAGTACTTACATATTGTACTAGTTTGGCAATCATTATCCATTGTACTGAAATATTCCCTTGTTTGTTGATGAACATATGAAAACTTGTAAAAAGATTAATAAATCTATGAACGAAATAGTATTGATAATTTGAAAAAAGTGCTATAAATCTATGAAAGAATTTGAACCTTTGCCTGTATGCACCTATGAAGCACGGATACTCCCCCGAGGTCACGAATCGGTGTCTAACACGAATCAGACACCGATTCGTGCACGACACGTGCACGACACGTGTCGGACACGGTCAAACCGTGTCCGACACGAGTCAACGGGTCAACTGAGGGGGACACGATCAACTGAGAAGCAGGATACGGCGTCGATTCGTTGAACTAAGAAAAAAGTGACGAACAAAAAACAGAACCCGTAACCCAAACCCGCTAATCGCTACAAAACCCTAATTCTCACTTACCTCAGTCCGTCGCTCGTCCTCGTCTCTCTCTCTATCGTCATCGTCTTCTCGAACATCCGCTGCTCGTCCTCGTCTCTCTCTCTCTCGTCATCGTCTTGAAGATCCGTCGCTCATCGTCTTCTCGAAGATCCGCCAGTTGTCGTCGATCTCTGCCCTCCCGTCGCCGTCGATCTCTCCCCTCCCGTCATCGTCGATCTCTCCCCTCCGATGCTAGGTAAGATCTCTTCTCTCTCTTTCCGATGCCGTTACACGCCTCTCTCTCGAGATTGATCTCCGTCTTCGTCTCTCTCGAGATCTGATCTCCGTCTTCGTCTCTCTCGAGATCTGATCTCCTTCTCTCTCTTCGTCTCTGTAGAGAAGATCTCCTCTTCGTCTCCTGGACGATCTCCGTCCGCTCTCATCTCCGTCTCTCTCTTCGTCTCTCTCTTTTATTTTTTTTTTATTTTTTATTTTTTTTGGAAAGACATAAGCTGAACTAATAGGTTTGGTTTTAATAGTTTATTGCACTTTCGTTTTAATATGTGTATTGTTTAAACTGCTCCTAAATTGTTGAATAACTAAACCTAACAATTTTTTTTGTTTATGCGGCTTGTGCTACTGCTGAAGTGCTGAGCAACTGAGCAAGTCACTTCTTTTGGTATTTTATATTTTTAAATTTTAGTTTTAATTTCAGTTTCAATTTATTAACATATGAATATTTTTTTCAATTTCAATTTTAGTTTTTTTTAACACAAATCAATTATTAACATTACACAAATAAATTATGAATATTAACATTTCAATTTGTTAAGACAATGATGATGAAGTTTTGTCAATTCTAGTTATTTGTTAAGGCAATGATGAAGATTTGGAATTTATTCTCTCTTTTATATGTCATGACACCAAATAAAACAAGAACTGCATCCTAATTAGAAAATAGAAATACAATATAAATATACATATGAAGATTTTCTAATTAAAACATGATGATTTTCTAATTAGAGGAATACAATATGAATATACATATTTAATGAATGAATTATGGATATTTATTTTGACAGCTATGTTGGAAAATTTGATTGATCCTTCATCCTTGCTCGTTGTCACTTAACTCTCAGTCTCAAGTATAATCTGTAAAAAGAAAAAACAAAGTCAGTGAGTAACAACTTATTAATTAGTATAATTAGAGAAAAGAGCTTAAAATAGTAATTACCATGCTAATTCATAATTTAGATTGTTAGTTGAATTTTATAAATTTTCTATATATAATAATAATTTTTAAAAAAATCCTCGCCGTATCCACGTATCCTATTTTTTTGGATTTTGCCGTATCCCGTATCCGTGTCTGTGTCGTATCCGTGTCCCGTATCCGTATCCGTGCATCATAGGTATGCACCTGTCTCAATGACTTGCAAGTTTGTTTGTCTATATTAAACTACAAAAAGGAGAACTGTTGCCTCTTGACTCCATTTCTCTCGATCAATAGAAAATGCTTCTTACATCACAATCACTACTACGGGAATAAGTTCATACCTTTCATGTCTTTTTATTCAGCATTAAGTTTATAAATTTTGCATTATTTTTTGGGTTTGGCTTGAGGTTCCTTGAGGATCTTGTATCTTTGAGGGCAGGTCACCAATGTCAGGTATTCTTGCATTTTGATTGGTACGCCTATTCCTAATCCTATTGTAACGACGTAGGGATCCATATGGAAACAAGTATCTATTTACATACGCTCGAATGAGATATCTATATCAATATGACAAGGGCTGTAGCTCAGCTAGGTAGAGCACGTCGTTTACACGTGTGTCAATGCTTTTCAAGGAAGCCCATTATGCAATGAGTCAGCAACTTATAGTACGAGTTACCCAGGATAAATATTACTCTTAACTTATAGATCGTATGCCTTAACCATACGGTTCCTCCCTTCTGTGCATAGTACTAAGGGGAATAAGCCATGGAATCCAAAATTCCCAGCAGCCGCGGTATGACAGAGGATTTCATACTCGAATAAACATCGTAATCGTAAGAAAGTTGGTTTTTTCGCTATGGGCCTAGTAAGTTTCTTATGAGCCAGCCCTCTTGCTAGGCTTTGCTTTATCTCGCCAAATTGCCCGAGGCTTATGCCTTTTTTTAGCTGTCTTTTCGGGTTCTCCCACCCAGGTAAGATGACATATATGATATATCATATATGCGTCTTGATCATATTTGCGCAGGGTCAGATATAGTCTCAGTTCGATGGATCTTCTCAATTGGAAGATCTCCCATATGGATAATACATATTCCGTACGCAAACTACGGTTACTGGAAAAGAAAAGAATGGCACTGGTTATTCAACAGCGGCAGCGGTTACGAAAACAGGGAATCCACCAGGTTTTATCAATTTGCAAATTCTACCTCAACTAGTTAAAAGAATGAAATGGGTTTTGATTTTTGATGACATTCAAGTAGGGCTACTGGGAATAGGGTTAAGCGGCGGGTTCGAATCCGGCAAATATATGGTATGAGGGACTTTTTGTGCATTTTTAGCCCTAAATGACAATCTTTTTCCGTTTCAACCATACTAGTGGCAACAGGTTCCCATTAGTACCTATACAATAATTTGAAGAAGTTTTCATTTCTTGGTGATAATGCTATTGTTTTTGCAAAGCAACATTTGACGGTTCCAATGGTGCTCCTAAAGTTACGTCTGGACACCTCTGCTAAATGACCAAGGCTGCTATCATCCTCGCTGGGCATGTGCAGTTATTTTCCTGTGATGTCTTTTTGGTTTCTCCCTATCAGTTTTGTCATGGTGGTCAAGAAAAGGCATGAGGTTCAAAACTCTGTAGATCTTACTTGTATGCGCCTTGTTTGTTTTGGATGTGCTTTAGCCTTGTTTGTCTTGGTGGTCAAGATAAGGCATGAAGTTCAAAACTCTGTAGATCTTACTTGTATCGGAGAATGTGCTTTAGCCTTGTTGGTTGAGTTTAATTTTTAAAGATGCTTTAAGATCAAAAGCCTAGGAAATCTGGCAACCCAAGACTATTATTTGCTGATTTTTTATAAGCAGCCGAATTCTCATTTTTTCTTTGGGGGGGCAAGGATGGGGTCAATACAAATGATTTGGATTCTGAAATTTGTGATGCGACATGTAAGATGCAAATGGACATAGTTAGTCAGGATCACCCATATGAAAAGGAAAAGCGTCCACTCATGCACAGAAAAACATGATCTACTGCAAATAGGATGAGTGAGCTTGCTTGGACTATGTACCTAAGTAATTATATATCTAAGATAAGTTAAACTGCAACAAACATTGATTACTTGCTTTCTTATTCCTCAGTGTGTCAGTGTACGATTGTTGCAGTCTAACAGAAGTTACAAATGATAAAGCAAGTTACAAATGATAAAGCAAATTCATAGTAATTTTCAGAAAAGTTTGAAAATTCAATGTGTCTTATTCTAATTTAGTCTTTGTTCAGCCTATCCACCCATTATTATCTTATTCCTTGTCAATTTTGCTCAACGCACCTGCCATTAAACTGACAAAGAAGTTTCTGGTTCTTTCTTAAATTGTTGAACCAGGGTTCCGAATACAAAAAGAAAAAAAATGTAAGTAGTTTGTTGGACCTGTCGCAGATCCTTTCTGGAAAAAAAGAGCATCTCATTGCAAGGTCCAAAATAGAGTGTGGGTAGCTGGAATGAGTGAACACCTTTATCTATTTTACTTAGTCGTTGGACCTGTGAGGTTGCTTAAATTCAGTTTAAACAGTACGAATTGCTACTAAATAGACTGCCGGGTTCACTTGTTTTGTTACAGTATTCTGATTTGTCAACGTCTCAAAGTGTTAATGTCCATTACAGTTTTAACTCGTTTAGATAGTTGCTTTTTACAATATTATCACTGGATTAGGAATGTGGTATAGCTATCACAGATACTATTGTTTTAAGAAGGTGCACAGTTCTTTGTGAATAATCATTTTATCTGTATGTTGTGTATTCTCCTTATTTCTTTTCATATACAAAAATCTATTTTCCTGGTTGGATGTGATCACCTTAGCCCAGTCTGATATATCCCGGATTATATGTTAATATGCCTTATTTTTTTGAACCTCTAAATATATTGACTATTGGCCATGCTTCATATGGTATATGCATGAACTTCCAATAACTTTATATTCTTTTTTTTTTATCTTGAAAGGGATCTTTATTATCTCTGCACTAGTTTTTGATCTCAGCATTCCTTGTTCTTTTTTTTGTGGTTCAGAAACTTAGGGCTGCAATTGCATCGACATATTATGATGGACTTGGTATTGAAGAAACTGATGTATTTGTCTCAGATGGAGCAAAATGCGATATTTCACGCCTTCAGGTTGTCCTGTCACTTCTTAATGTATAAAAAACTAGAAATATCAACTTTGGTTAAGATTACTGGACAAAAATTGCTTATCAATATTTATACTTAGTTTGATACACTTTTTCATGAGTGTAAATGCAGATAAATTTTTAACTGAAGATAGTTTGGATTTTGAATGACTTTTTTTTTACTTGATTTGGCTCAGCTGTTCTTTATATTGTGCAGCTTCTTTTTGGTGCCAATGTGACAATAGCAGTGCAAGATCCATCATATCCTGTGAGTTGATTTCTCTTAGTTTACTTTTATCTTTTAAAAATTTTGTCCAACAACTAATTGAACTAACTATGTGGATACCATCCATTTTACTTTGCTTGGTATCTTAGTTTTAATCTCAGCCCTGGAAGGGGAAAAATATTCCCTTATGTTTATCACTTTGCTTTGTAGAGAATAGTTTTATGCTCTAAATTACTTTTTATATTATTGGCATTATCATTGTTGCTACATGGAGATTCTTGATAGGACCTAGTTCTAATGATATCTTGATTTAAGATGTGTTTTTATATAAACTGTGAGCTTATTTTATTTGCAGGCATATGTAGATTCAAGTGTTATTATGGGGCAAACTGGCGTATTCCAGAAGGATATAGAAAAATATGGGAACATAGAGTACATGAGATGCACACCCGAGAATGGTTTCTTTCCTGATTTATCCACTGTTAAAAGAACAGATGTAATCTTCTTTTGTTCACCAAACAATCCAACTGGCGCAGCAGCTTCTAGAGAGCAGTTGACACGATTGGTTCAGTTTGCTAAGGACAATGGATCTATCATAGTTTATGATTCAGCATATGCTATGTACATATCAGATGACTGTCCACGCTCTATCTTTGAAATTCCCGGAGCAAAAGAGGTGAACTGAAAAAATCAATTCTTTTTCTTTCTTTCTCTTTCTAAATAACTGCATGTTCATTTAGGGATTTGGATCCTATACACTGCCAAAAAGTAGTGGAGAGAGCATTACTTTTAATTAGAACCATGTGTTATTTAGTGGACGAATATATTACCTGGGCACTTCTGAAGCCGTACGCGACATGCACCAGCACATGCACCCAAACTTCTTGGGAACTTCTCGAAAAAATGCATACGTTCATTCAAGCACGTATTCAATTGTACAATACATGTTTTAATTTAAAATACCCGTCATACACTTCTTGGACGTATATCCTACACTTCACATCTTCTTCTTGAAAATTGTTGGACACGGGTCAAGTTTGTTTCAGCCCATACCTAGTTCAGAACTATAACTATATTTCAAAGGGTCAATTGGGTATCTAATTCAAAATCGAGCTGTTTTCCAATTTATAGTCTACATAAATAGAAACATAAATTTGTTATATGAATTTTAATTCTTATAACTTGTGATGAATATTGATCGCATGTAAATTATTAATTTTAATACATATAGATGCACATATTCATAGTATGTACATATATATAACTATGTCTATCCTACCTTACACAAATGTGTCATGTCCTGTATTGGTACTAGTACCCATACCCGTACCCATTTCCGCGCAAGCTAGACGGATGATTATGATTTATTCAAAGATGTATAACTTATCATATTTCCTATATCCTGCACTCGTTCCCACTTTTCACTCAAAACAAATCGAAATCGTTAGCTAGAGAAACAGTCTATTGTGATTAAAGTAGTGGTGAGGTTTAAAGTGTTTTATTTAATATAAATTCTTAAATGATGATAGTTTCTTGCCTAGTCGTTTCATATTAATTACTAATTTTTTTGACATTTCAGTGAATCCTATCATTATCAGGATGATAGGATGTATGCATTGTTACTTTGTTACGTACCAACTAAATAGAGTTCTATGCTGAAAAAAGTTGATTATACTTGTGCCATTTACAATAAAAAGCTGTATTTAACTTATTTCACTTCCAAACTTTGCATACTTCTATTTGGGTCATAGTTAAGTACTATAATCTCGACTAGGAGTTTTAAAAAAGGGAATTACGTTCTACAACATGTTATAAGTTTCAAATTAAAAAAAAAAACTTATTTCAGTTGGAACTATGTCAATTTTGCCTTAATATGACAATTAACCTATGTCGCATGGCTGGTACATTTATGCGATAGGACACGACAAATATGTAAAAGGTTGGGTACAGGGAGATAGCTATATAAACATTTATATACACATTATTATATATTAAAATTAATAATTTATATGAGAACAAGGATGAGAATTAAAATTCTTATAACATTTTTATGTTTCTTTTATTATGTTAATTATAAACTGGAAATTCACTAGGTTTTTAACTAGACACCAAAACAATCCTTCAAAATCATAATTCAGAACCTGACCTATGTTCAACAAGTTTTAAGAAGTGGATGTGAAGTGGAGGATATATGTCCAAAAAATGTATGGTAAGGTTTTAAATTAAAACATGTATATTGTATATAATTGAGTATATGCCCAAATAAATGTATTCATATATGCAAGGAGTGTCCAAGGAGTTTAGGTACGAGTATGTATCATGTATGGGTATGGCTTTAGGTTAGTAGTACCCTGGTAATTAACCATTTATCCTTGATAATTTCCTTATTAGCTACTTTTTAACTTAGAAATCATCCAAATATGTCTGAAATAAAATCCTAAGTTATTTGAAATATAATAGTTCCCTTCTTATATAGTTTCGTATCCAAACCTATGATAACTTGTTCTTTTCGTCGTTAGTCGAGTCCTTAATTTTTTGACAAACTTTTTGCATTGTTCATTTTCAATCTTCTAATGCACTGTATATCTTTATTATAGACTAAATACCCATATTGATATTTTAATTCCACCCCATTTACCAAGAAGGTATTTTAATTAGGCAAACCTATTTTAAGGCATTTTAATTAATTCAACTTACTAATAAGGTCATTTTTCTTGTAGGCGACTAGTTTTCCGACGAGAGTTCGTCACGTGCGTAACATATGATGACTTAAACTGTTTTTTAGCTGCTGATGTGTCACAAATTTTTTGACGTGGCGGTGTTTAAAGGCGGGAATTAACCCTCTAACAATCCCAATTCACCCAAAATGGGACATGAGGGTTATGCTAAAAATCAGTTTAAGTCATCACGTGCCACGCACGTGACGAGCTCTCGTCGGAAAACTGATCACCGACGAGAAAAAGGGCCTTATTAGTAAGTTGAATCAATTAAAATGCCTTAAAACAGGTTTGTCTAATTAAAATACCTTCTTGGTAAATGATGTGGAATTAAAATACCAATATGAGTATTTAGCCATTTATTATAAAGGTTATATCTTTAACATTTAAAGGGGCAATCATTGAACTGTTGTGTGTCCAAAATCAATCCTTTACATATTCTTCTTCCTTTTCTTTCTTTCTTTCTTTTTTTTTGGATGAGGAAACTTGGCTAGGTCAATCGAATATAAAAAATGAGGTCCAATGTTCGAGCATTCCCAACCACAGGAGAACAACACACATTCTAAGCTCTCCCACCATTGATGACATACCCAGAGATCACAATGGAGGGAAAAAAATCTCGGATCACATGACAGCAACGACATGGGCATGAGACAAGTCTCATGCATGTGTCAAGCCTGAGAACTTCGATTGCATAGCATCTTTAGCAAGGTTTTAAATGTCGCCCGACATGTCCGACATATCGGTTTGAGGACTTGACCGACACGACATGGACGTTTTCAACTCGTATATCGGTTTTCAAGGCCAAATCGGAAATATCAGGGTCATATCAGGCATATCGACCTATTTTTTAGCTTTGAAAAATCGACCGATATGATATATTTTTAAGATCTGTTTTTTGTTATTGGGTTTGGGTTTAGTGATAAATACTCAAACTCGTTTGACCCGTTCTCATGTTTAAGGGTTTCTTATGAACCCGATAGAAAGAATTTATGAACCTAAATCCATATATTATTTACTTTTTTATATGTTTAGTCTATAGAATTTATAAAGTATGCTTATATTGAATTTATGAATGCTTAGATTACATTTAAGACATGATATTATACATATGCGCACTACCCGATATGACAATCCGATATTTAGTCAATGTTCCCCGATATATCCCCGATTTCCGCTATCCGACATGGATTTCAGCCATCCGACATGAACCCGACATCCGACATTTAAAACCTTGATCTTTAGACCACAGATGAACAATACCTGCTATTGATGGAGGTTCAGAGCGAAAATACAAAATACAAGTTCAATTTGATTATGCTTGTACCACTTAATATACATACTTCATACCATTAGCTACTCTTACTACAAAAGTGTAGCTGTTACGACAAAAACACTTTTATCAACTCCTTGTTGGCAGTTCTTGCTTCAATCGGAACTTATGCAGAATCTGACAAGGGTTGAAAACGACGGAGTGAGCTAGAGCCCAGTGAGGACATTTCCGCACTAGTGTTTTTAGCAAAAGTAATGAATATTAAAATCTTAATATTAAAGTAAGCTAGCTTGACCTCTCTATTTGCAAACTATGAAGCATGTAGGATTGTAACAATGATCGATGCTACATGCCATAATAGTGTAAGATAGCAAATTAACTTTGGTTTGGCCTTAAATCAAAGTCATGAGCAAACATGATAAAACTGAAAACACAAATAAATGTGAGGAATTAAATAAGTTCAAGAGAAACAAAATGAGTGTCAATTTACACATTATATCAGCTGGCCACTTGAATTGAAATCTCAATGAACAAATTATATCACTGGAAATAACACTCTCACTTGTGATACTAAGACTACTAATTTTAGCCCATTAGTAAGGAAAAACGAATTCCCATCTCTTCAACAATTTTCTTCCCAGGAGTACAATACACTTAGCTTACCATAAGTCAGCCTCATCACTTGTGCCTAAGAAGGCCGTTTCTTTTATGCTAAACATATCACTTTACTTATTGGTGCACCTAATACTTATGGTAGACTCGATCACTTCACTTCATAGCGGACTTTTAGGGTTTTATTATTATTATTGAGATTTATTATCAATTGTTACAAAACCAAGTCATGGATAAACATAATCGTTTCAACACTTCTTTAACAAATCACATTAAGAGAAAATAACGTTCATATTTGTCTAAATGGTATATATGAAGACATAGCTTAATTGTATTCCACTTGAGTTCAAATAGACATGCATATAAAATCAAATATATTATATTTAACAATAAAGCATGTCCAAACCCATTTCTCACTTAATAAAATCAAGAGAACATATCATTCTCACACAAATAAATTTTCACAATTCAATACACATAGGAAATTTCTTTCTTTCTTTTTCTGAAAATAACTAGTGAGAAATATACTCATCTTTACTCAATGAAAAGTTTGGTTATGATTCCCTTAATTTGAAGGAGGGCCTATAGTATAAAAATTTGTAAGGCCAATATCAATTTATGTAAATCAACTCATAGGTTAATGATACCTCTTTATCCTAGGTCTACACAAGTTAAATGGTAAACAAACTCCTAAAAAGGTTTATACTAAATGTATAAGGATTTTGTTTAATATTTTTAAAGCACATTTTCATGGATATTTTGGGTCTAGTTTAAATTATCTATTTCCTTGTAAAGAACTCTGTTTGGGCCTTTTGGTTAGTTCTGGAATTTCAGGGCTTTATCATAAAATTTCCCCTTTTCTTTTTGTTAGGACCTTTTTGTTAGGACCAGATAAAAACTATGTGACTTTCAGGGGTCCCATTAAGACTTTTTACTTCCTCTTTGCTCTTCCTTCTTCCCGCGATCATTTACTCTCTCTCTCCCCCCCCCCCCCCCCCCCCCCCCTCCCCAGAACTCAAAGGTTTCCTGTCCCGCTGAGCCCTTGTCGGCCGGTGCGGGGGGGCCTCGGTTGGCGGCCGACGAATTTTTTTGAGAGTTCTCATCTAAGAACTACATTATTTTCCCCCTACATATTTACAACATTATAGATCACTAGAAAATCTACTAAAAAGTTTTAGTAGGTATTCCTCAAAAGTTGAGATCCTTAACTTTGCCTCTTCTCCCCTAGCCTTCCTTCTCTTTTACCTCTCTTCCCTTTTTTTTCTCTGAAATTTTATTTTGAAATTTTTTGCTACAGCAGAGATAGAGGATTGATGAGTGGTTTATTAGAGGGAACTTCACCATGAGGAGGCAAGAGACAAGTGACCAACTGCCTTACATTTGCCCAAGGCTCCCACTAGAATAAGGACACTTCTCCTCTCTTGATTAGAAAAAACTCAACAAGCCAATGCATGTTATTTGTTTGGGAGACTTTCTAAAAACTTTCCTACAAAATTTAAATTTGCAATTTATTTTTTGTAAGAAGCAAATCTGGGGTATATTAAAATAGGGGAGCACACAACTAAGGGGAGCCTACCACCACATATTGTTATAACCTGTGGGGGCTCCAACTCCAGCCCAATACCAACTACAGGGAGCCCAAATCTCACTCCAAATACCAAGCTTGGTTGAACTAGCCAAGTAAAACCCTCAGAGCCACTGGGTCATCCTATTGCCACCCAGGGCCCTATAAATGGATTTGATGGATTTGGATCCTCTTCAGTATAAAAAAAGTAGTGGAAAGACCACTACAATAATCACAATCATTATTTGTTAAGTTATGTCTGCTTCTCAGAGCTGCTTTTAATTTAGCAAGATAGTGTTGACTTACATCTGCTCCTCTGTCCATGTATTGATTGACCAACTCTTTGCCCACTGTTGAGTGTTGACATGTAGCCTAGCGTGGATTAAAAAAAAATTCATTAAAGATGCTAGTAGAAAAAAGTAGAAAAAATAGGGTCAATGATCTACATTATACACTTGCCGAAGTGAATTCCCTATGTTTGTCTTTTCCTAGTCTGAAATACTATCAAAATCTTCTCCACCAATATAGTAACAATTTATCTGTATTGCCATTATAAAGGTATCTCATTGATGATATCATAAACACATGAAAGTTTTTGAAGATGTCAACCCATGTTATACTGTCTAATTATCAAAGCATATCAAGCTTTTGTTAGTCAATCTATTCCAAAGCTTTTGTACTATTTTAGAAACATATGTAACCCTATCAAGAATCGTTCTTCTTCAGGTTGCAGTTGAGACAGCGTCTTTTTCAAAATATGCTGGCTTTACTGGTGTTCGACTTGGTTGGACAGTGATTCCTAAAGAGCTTCTGTTTTCTGATGGATTTCCTGTCGCCAAGGACTTCAATCGCATAGCCTGCACTGGCTTTAATGGTGCATCTAATATCTCTCAAGCTGGGGGTCTCGCTTGTCTTTCTTCGGAGGGTCTTAAGGTTACGGAAACTTTAAGATATCCTGCAACTTATGTGCAAGAAAATTACATATCTTGATCACTGTTCAATCTTTACTTTGTGCAGGCCATGACTGATGTCGTCACTTTCTACAAAGAGAACACACAGATAATTGTCGACACATTCACTGCGCTCGGATTCGATGTGTATGGGGGACTAAATGCTCCTTACGTGTGGGTGCATTTTCCAGGTAAGAGCTCTTGGGATGTATTTGCCGAGATTCTTGAAAAGACTCACCTGGTCACAACACCAGGCAGTGGATTTGGACCTGGTGGTGAAGGGTTCATCAGGGTTAGTGCTTTTGGTCACCGAGAGAATGTTGTTGAAGCTTGCAAAAGATTAAAGCAGCTCTACAAGTGAGCAAAAGCTTACCATTTGGAAGTTCCATGTGTCCTCCCATCTGTGTCAGGCTCCTCTCCTGATGTTATTAAGTGTCACTTGTGATGTATGTTTGGCTAGGTGAGCTTCTGTTGGCCATTTCTATGAGAATTGGGTGTCCGTAAGAAGATTGTTTTACAACATATTGTATTATGGGCCTACGTTAGACTTCATACCTTCGTATTCTGCGTTAGATATGCTGTTGTCTACTTTGTGTTTGGCATGTGTGAGTGTGGTGGTTGCTATCAGTTGATTGTGCGTTACAAGTGCTGCCCTTACATTATAGTATCTATTAGTACTGCAGCATAATAATAATAATAATAATCCTCTATGTGAAATTTTGTTCTCTACTGGAAGATTATGATAATCTCCTAATGCACGGATTTTTTTTACAATTCTGAGATATTTAACGGTCAGAACTGGTAAGGTCAAGCTTTATCTGAAAGTTCTGGTTGGAAGCGTTTAGGTTCTCGCGAATTACATGGAGTCTATCAGCTGCTGTAAGTTCGCTTTTATGCGCTTTTAATCTTTGGTATTGTAGGGTACATTGTCAGCCTTGGAAATTCCCCTTTCTGATTACTTTCATTTGCATTTTCTACAGTGATTGAACTCAACTAAGTGCAATAGCACGTGAAACATTTTATGTGATCATCATTTGTATTTAAGTGTTGCTCCGGATCTAAGTTATTTTCTCCCCTTGACTTTATAATTTGATTTGTTTTTCATTTAATGTCCCCAGTTATTAACCAGCTGCCTGAGTTTTTGTAGGTTAACTGGAAATGTAATGTATATCCGCTTGCCCATCAGGTACGTCTCCTCTCTTCTACCTTGATTTATTTCATGCGTTACAAGTAGCAACAAGCTGTTTAACTTAAACTGGCTTACAACGACTAATGTCCTTATTCTGAAACAAGAAAAGTCATACGCTAACATCACAATAAGAAAGATGCATAGTAGAATCATAGGCCCTTTTTTCCCCCTTCATCCGTACCGTTACACCTCTTCATCATTCGTCCTGCATCCATTTCATCATCAACTTCACTTCCCTGGGACAAAGTTGGTAGCATATGCCCATGCATTGTTGGCAGTTGGGTTATCCAAGTGATCCAACAAGTTCTCGATCGGTCCCTTTCCAGTGACGATCGCCTGCACGAAGAATCCAAACATGGAAAACATCGCCAAGCGTCCGTTCTTGATCTCCTTCACCTTCAACTCTGCAAATGCCTCTGGATCATCAGCAAGACCCAAGGGGTCGAATGCCCCACCTGGGTAAATTGCATCGAGACCCTCTCCTAGAGGGCCTCCACCAACTCTGTATCCTTCAACAAAGCCCATAAGTACAACCTGCCATCATAATTATTGATTCAGCTTTTATCATCATCCAACAAGCCAATACCTAACGGCTTAAGCTTTATATATATATAAAATTGAGAATACCTGGCAGGCCCAGATGGCTAGAATGCTCTGGGCATGGACCAGGTTAGGGTTTCCCAGATAGTCGAGACCGCCCTCTGAGAAGATTTGTGAGCCGGCCTTGAACCAGACGGCTTCACCAAACTTGACGCCGTTCTTGGCAAGGACTTCAGGGAAGACGCAGCCAAGAGCGCCGAGCATTGCCCATCGGCAGTGGATCACCTCGAGCTCACGGTTCTTGGCGAAGGTCTCTGGGTCAGCAGAGAGACCGGCAGTGTCCCATCCATAGTCACCGGGGAATTCACCGGTTAGGTATGAGGGGGTTTGCTCTGAGAATGGGCCGAGGTATTTGGGACGGTCCGGTCCATACCTGTCGTTAAATTTTGAATTAATTAGGGTGTTCCATGCATATATAAAATTTGAAATGCTAGTTATTATCACTTCAAACCTTCTCAAACTTCAATTTTACATGCTAACCTTTGAAATCTGTTGGATTATTTTATTTGAATATCCCCTACTTGAATTTAAGTTCAGATTACAACCAATTACTTCTCCGAATTTGTTCTCGTAAAAGATAAAAGTCATTGGATTAGCATAATTTTAGAAATCAATTCAACTAGCTATAATTTACAATAATGCAAATACAAGCATCTAATAGAAAATTTACTAAATTACAATAACAACAGCAGTAGCAGCAACAACAACAACAATAATAATAATAATAAAGATGCATGCAAATTTTAAAATTTTGCAAAGATGTGCAGATTTTTGTCACCAGATGCTCTGAGGAGCGCTCTTGACAGTCCGGCGCATGGTGAAGCGGCCATTGCCGGAGGGGCCAACCTTGCGAACGAGCTCGTTCGGGGCCTTGAGGGCGGTCTGGCCGGCGAAAGCTGATGCAGAGGCTGCCATTGATGAACCGAAGCTAACTGCGGAGCTGAATGAGAGGTGGTGGAGGCTCTGAAACAAGGAAGAGGTTTATGTAGGGAGAGCGAGGGGGTGGTGGTTTTAGTGGATGAGGGTGATGCCAACTAGGAGGAAGCTTATTGGGCCTCGCTCAAATTCTCGGATATCCTCGAGATGTACTCCTGCCCCTCCTGCTGCCACGTGGCGGAGATATCTCTGGTGGGGATGGACCAATGTATTTGTTTTGAGGAACCAAGAATAGGATTTACAAAAGTGACAGTAGAACTCTACACAGCCACTTCACCGATAAATATATAGGGGAAGGAAAATGATTTAAGGACCCAAAATATGGGACCAATGGAGGGGACAGATGAGGTGTCCCCTTCCTATTACATAATGAGTTGGTCATGAGTTGGCATAGCGAACTTATTATGCAATAGGGAGGGGACACCTCACCTGTCCCCTCTCTTGGTCCCATATTTTGGGTCCCCGTAGCAGCACTTTTTTTAAAGTATCGAAGCCGTTGACTATTTGTTTTCGATTTTTCTTTATTTATCTAGATATTTGTAATATAGTGTAATTTAGAAATGCTACGTACCAACCATTTTGAGTCGTACATGCTCATACATAGTTATGTAAAGAGCTTTTTTTTTTACATGAAACTACCATAAAAAATGGTCAATATTATACGCACGGTTTACAAAATATCATCGAGTCGTGGTTTTTATTACGGGGTTTTGTCTCTAAAATCCAGAGTTTTACTCCGACTTATTTATAAACCCATCCACTTTCATAATGCCTCATATACCCAGCATACTAATCCCGACTTATTTTTAAATCCAATATATCTAATACATAGTATTTGTACATCGTATTTCTCTCAAAAACCTAAAAAACCCAAAACATCCCCATCTTATTATTATTTATTCTTATTTAACCCGTTTGCTTCATCCTTCCTCTCCTACCTCCTTTGCCGTTGACCCACCACCTCCTCAAAATTTACCCTCTCTTCCTCCTCGTCAACTCTCGCCAGACTCCATCCTTTCTCTATATTCTCGTGAATATATAGTCTCCTCAAACTCGACATTGGCTACAACTTTCTCATCAATCTCTCGCTTCTCGATGTCTACACCAATATTTGATGTTCTCAGTCTAAAGGAATGCCCTCCTATACATTCATTTCCTCACCTCAACGTAGAGATTCATATGTGCCAATGATGCCTGCAGCATTAGACCTAGTCCGCGACGTTTCTTCGTTTAAGTTTGTAAATAAGAAAGATGTTCGATGAAATGTTTGTGTGATGAATCCTTTACTCAAATGAAGAGATTTAATCGTCAACTGTTTCTTGAAATGAGTAATTGTAATTGAAGTGAAAAAGCCGTATGGAACAATCTCATTTTGTGTTGCTTATCGACTATTTCTTGAATGTTCAAATATATTTTCTATAACATATTATAGCTCCTTCTGGACAAAGTATAACTAATTTTTTCAAAGTATAACTCCTAATAACAATTTTGTAGCTCTTTCTGAATAAAATATAGTTCCTTATGGCTTTCGTCACTTCAAGAAGGAAACTAAATGTATTGCACGATATACTTTTGAGGACAATAAATAAAAATCAATATATCTATAGATACAGTTATAAGGAAAATGTAGAAACTTAGACTGTTCAAATTATGATTGTTCAAAGTATAGCTGTTCAAATCATGGCTAGGTCGAATGACCCGCATCATCTGGTTCTAAACCCCTGTAGTTTTATTGTTACAGATAGACCCCTGGATTATTGTTATTATTATTGTCTATTTTAATAATTTACAACAATACCTAAAATTACATCAAAGAAATTTACAAAAATCCCTAAAAATTTACAACAATACCCAAAATTACAAAACATTTACAACAATACCCAAAAATTTACAAATACCTCTCTGCGAGTTCAGCGGGGGCGGTGCCGCGGCGAGCTCCGGCGAGAGATCGGGGGTTCGGGGTTCCAGGGTGTCGGAGCACGTGCGGTGGAGTCGGAGAGGAGGAGCGGGAGGTGACGGAGTTCGCGATCTAGGGCAGCCGCGAGGGGTATTGGTGGTGAAGTGGGTATTGACGGAGTTCACGATCGGGGGTTCGGGGTTCCGTCGCGATCTGTTGAAATATATATCAAACATCGCTGACGGGTTTCCCGTCAGCGATGTTTATTTCCCGTCGGCAATAATAGCATCGCCGACGGGTATAATTCAACTGTGACGGCAACTTCGCTGACGAGAATCCCCGTCAGCAATATAAACATCGCTGACGGGAATCTCCCGTCAGCGTTGTTGCCGTCAGCGATACTGGTTTTTCCACTAGTGAACGTAGTCTAGCTCTTTTTGGAGGAAATATAGCACTTTTTTTTCAAAGTATAACTTCTTATAGCTATTGGCCTTCTTGTTTTGATGATGATTTACAAACAATTTACATCTAATATTGTTTGTCTAGTGTTTGTGTTTTATATTTATTCTAGGCAAACAATATGTTAGAGGATGGATGGAATCAAACTTTCACGATCATATCCAATGGAGGTTGACGGAATAATGGAGTGAAGCCTTGCTATCAAGTTAAAGATCCAATTACAAGCTTCATCCTAGTTTACCAAGTTGAGCTACAATGAAGATCAAGAGCAAGCTTGAGTAACATTTAGTTTAGGAGTTTATATTATGTGTGTTAGTATACCTTAAGCTCAATCATATACACACACGTTTTGGTTTTGTATATATATAGTTACATATATACATATATATTTTGGTTTGATAGTTTTCAAGTTTTAATATGAAGCAATTTAATATAATTAGAAAACATAGTTTTGTTTCATACTTATATGCATATATATGATTTCATCAATATCAATTTTATTTAGTTAAATGAAATCATGTTTTAGTGCATTATATGTGTATTTTGATAAAATACTACATTCATTGTTTATAGACTTCATAACAATAGTTCACATCTTTTTTCAAGTCTATAAAATCATTTTGTAGAGTTTTAAAACATGGTTTAGCCAAAATGTTAAAATTCATATGTTTACATTTTCATGTTTTTGGACTATTTTGAAAAATGATGATATTTCTCATTTGGGAAGTTCTTTTAGAAAACCAGTTTTTGTAGCATGTGTATTATTATGTCTACAATCATTTCCCAAAGTTTTATAATTTTTAGAATTTATTTGATATTTTTAAACAGTGTTTTAAAATCAGCAAACTGTTTTCAAACCTGTCAATTTCATATATCAGTTCACGGTCGACCGCGCCTTTATTTTTAGCCTGCGGAGCCAACAGAAACTTTCATGGTCGACCGCCACGGTCGACCGTCAGCTCGAATTTTCCCACGGTCGACCGCCACGGTCGACCGTCAAAGTATCTGGAAGTTTTCTGAGTTTCAAAGCTGGCTCGCGGTTGACCGCGAGTTTTCCACGGTCGACCGCTGTTCACTCCAACGGCGGTTTTTGTACAGAATCGTATTCCTGATTTTCTGGGATTTTTGTTGTTTTGTTTGGGGTTTTGGCTGTTGGTTTCTCGTCCTATAAAAACCCCTCAACCCCTCTTCTACATACATGAATTTGGAGAAAGTTTTAAACAAGTTTAAGAGGGTTTTACAGTTTGTTTCAAAGTTGGTTTTTGTTTACAAAGGAGGAAGCTTACATTGCAAATTGAGGGATTCATTCTCAATCTTATTCATCCTCTCCTATTAGTTTATAGAGAAGTTTTTTAACTCTTTTCTCTAGCAATATTATTATTGATTTTCATATTCTTATTATTGCTAGTTTGTTATTTGAGTTAGATTTTATTTTCTCTTTGTTTTACATACACACAACCATTGAGCTTATTGTATTTACATTCATAGTATAATTGGGTTGTGGGATTGTGTAACTTAGAGAGTGAGCTTATAATTCGTTCTCATCCATTGTAGAGAACAAACACTTTGTATTGTGCCTAATTGTAAGGATATACTTTGTAATACACTTGTACACCAAGAGAAGTGTGTGGTGAGAGTCGGGGATCGTCCCAAGAGGAGTGGCGTCGGTTGACGAACCTAGGGAGAGGTTGTATCCGAGCACTTGAGGGAGACACGTCTAGTTCAACACTTGAGAGGGTGTAGAGTGGGATTACAAGAGTGTGTTAGTTATAGGGTTTTCGGTAAACTAGAAAACTGTATTGTGTGGTGTAAACGTTATTCGGGTGAACGTAGAAAACCCGGTTATGATAGTGGATTTCTCCCCGGGAGTGGGGAGCGGAGACGTAGGACGGAATGTCCGAACTCCGTGATCATTTGATTGTGTTTGAGTGTGCTTTGGCGTTCATTTATATTTGTGCTCATTGCTCATATCGCCTTTCTCTCATTATCTAGCTTGTCCACTACATTGTTTATATTTATTTATGTTACCCTTGTGTTTGCATATCCCTGCATATATCATATAGTATATCTCTTTGCTAGGATATATCACCTTGTGTATATTGCATATTCTTGCTCATAAGTAATTGGATATCTCTCTTGCAAGAATAATTTGTTAATTAGTTTTAATTGGCATAAAATCGGATTAGATTAGCATAATACCCTAATCACCCCCCCTCTAGGGTCTAACAATTAGTATCAGAGCTTGGTGCTCTTTGATTTAAGGTATAACCACCTTGAGTTAAAGATCCAAGTTATCTTATTTGTGCTAATCTAGATATGATTACTTTTGTCTTGCTTGCATATATTCACATCATGAATATAGGTGCATTTCGTTTAGGCTATGATCCAAATATTGCTCCAAAATATAAAAATTTCCCTTATGCTCAATGGCGCTCTAAATTTAAAATATTTGTTGAATCTAGAAATATTGACTTATGAGAAGTTATTAATTGTGCTTATATTATGCTCACATTGGAGAAATCTAAGTGGAGCAATCATGATCATAAAATGTTTACAATGAACAAGCTTTTGTTAGAATTTTTGCTTAATGCTTTCATGATCATAAAATGTTTACAATGAACAAGCTTTTGTTAGAATTTTTGCTTAATGCTTTTGACTCATCATTTTCTAACAA